AAAAAAAAAAAAATTTATTGTTGTCTCATTCTCTAAGAAACTGCCACAGCCACACCAGCCTTCAGCAACCACCACCTTGATCAGCCAGCAGCCACCAATATAGAGGCAAGATCCTCCACCAGCAAAAAGTTATGACTCACTGAAGGCTCAGATGATCATTAATAATTTCTAGCAATATTTTTAAATTAAGGTATGTACTATTTTTTAGACATAACACTATTGTACACGAAATGTAACTTTTATATGTACTGAAAAACTCCCCAAATTTATGTGACTTGCTTTACTGCAATATTCACTTCATTGTGGTAGTCTGAAACTGAACCTGCAATATTTCCAAGGTATGCAATATTTCCAAGGTATGCCTATCTATAAATACCTACCCTAAAAGTTGAAAAAACAATTAAGTATGAGCTTAATTTAAAATAAGCCAATTACATAATATAAACATTTTCATTTTAAAAAACTATACTTTCAAAAACTAAAAAGTGAGAAGAGTGTGACTCTTGTATTTTTAAAAACTTAAAAATATAAAATATAAATATACATTTATATAAAATATAAAATATAAGACAGCTGCATTCATCTGTTCTTGCATTCAAACTGCTGTGGTAGGCAGTCATTATGGTAATATATGAAAAAACTTCATTACCATACAGATATGTAGTTAGAAAAAGAGCAATATTTTAATATTCTTAATATTTTCGTCTATCTTGCACTTTAAAACTTTTACTCATGTATAGTATGATTCACTGGTCATATATGCATACCCTCCAAATGTTAACATATTTCATCATACAATGTCAAAAAAATCACATATGTTAAATATATTCCTATTAGAACAGTCTGTAAGTACCAGAAAGACATCAAGCTCAAACAAATCAGGGACCGAATGAAATTCTATAAATATCTAAGTCTCTTTTGAAAGCTGATGTTTATCATGGGCAATCCTTCCTTGAAGTAAGACGTTCACTTCCAAGAAAATATATGCCATGTATAAAAATACTAAATGACATGACAAGCTGTGGTTATTTAGTTGTTTTTTCAATGAAAAGTGGTACCATGAAAAAAGTGGCTACTTCATTTTGCAACATCAACTTTATCACGCATTCTTCCTTAAGATAATTATACTTTGGTATGCAACTGAAGAGTTTTTACAAATACTTCTGTTTTGCTATATACAACATTAAAAAAAAGTGTACACAAGGTTAAGATTTTTTTAAGTTTAAAATGTTCACTGCTTCATTAAACATTAAGTAGAAGTAATTTTTCTTTTTTAATCCTTGACTGTAAGGAATTGAAAGCCACAGTGACTAGCAGCACAATTTGGCTCACTTCTTTGATCTGTGCTGAGTGCCTACAGTTTTACCCCAATTGTTTTATACCAACAGTGTAAATGTCAAGGCTGTGAAAGGTAAATGAAGACTCAGTGTAAGTTAAAAATAATTTGATCTGTGGATCTCCTAAAAAGGTCCTGGACACCAATGCAGATCACCCTTTGAGAATCACTGATTCAAGAAACGAAAGAGTGGTTTCAAATATATAAATGGCTATCATATGGAAAATGGCATGCCCTATATATTACCAAAGCAGACTTTGAACCAACATATAGAAGTTACAGAAAATAGATTAACACTAAATTAAGTAAAAAAATTGAGATACAATTTATAAACAGTAAAATGTTACTTTTAGTATTGTGTAAAAAAATTGAGATATAATTTATAAACAGTAAAATGTTACTTTTAGTATTTTGGTCTATGGTCTGATACTTCTCTCACAAATAAATACAAACAAACATGGGTTTTGACAAAAGAATTACGACCTTAATCAAGAACCAATATTAATCCAATATTAATTACTACCTTAATCAAGAATCAATATTACCCTTCAAAATTTCCTCATGTGCCTTTGTAGTTAACCCCTCCTCCTATATCCAGCCCTGACAGCTGCTAATCAATTTTCTATCTCTAAAAATTTGCCTATTCTGGAATGTAAAATAAATGAAATTATACAGTTTGAAGCCTTTTGAGTCTGAGTTCCTTGTGTTGTTTACATTTTTCAGATACAATTCCTTTACCAGATGTGTGTTTTGCAAATATTTTCTCCTAATCTGTGGCTTATCTTTTCATTTTGCTAACAATGTTCTTCAAAGAGCAATGTGAAAAAGTCCAATTTTATAATAATAAAAAAAAGGGGCTCGGCGCCTGTGGCTCAAGTGGCTAAGGCGCCAGCCACATACACCTAAGGTGGCGGGTTCGAATCCAG